TTTTTTACGACTATTTACACCTTTTTGAGCATAAAATATCTTCATGGCACTGCATATAAATTGTATTAATAAAATTAAAATAGTCTCCACCCATTTCTCATTAAGGAAAAGTATAAAAAGATAAAAATCATTACATTTCGATAACATTCTTCATTCCAAGATTGACATTCATGTCACTCAACGGGTCAAGGTAATACACCAATGCCGCCAAAGGGTTGATAACAACCAGTAACCAATGATTCCTACAACAAAAAAGTTAAATAACAATGAACTACTTGCTATCATTGCATTTTTGAACTACCAAAAAGAATTAGCGTGAAACCATTGTATTCATAAACTTACCCTGTATTATAAGGAGCAAAAAATAACTGGTCTAAGTGGGCAGATTCAAATCTATGTGATAATGCATTTGATCTAGCCTCAATTTCTCCAGTTGATTGAGAGATGTGACTTGGATCAACTGATCAACAAATCCATACAGGTGACCCTTGTTCTTTTGTTGCAATACTGACCAAAGATGCCTATAAAAGATTTCAAATATATGTTCTAATATAAATAGCATATAAGTTAAACAGTATAAGTTTTAGTACATTAAACACACTTCACTTACCTCATGTATATAGAAATGCAAATACTAGATATTGGATTCATTAAACATAAGTGACTGATATCATTTTTGCTAATGAAATTGTTTTGCTCCATGCCAAACACACCGTCTTCCATTATCAAAGATATTCTTTCATTTTCAGCCATTGACCTAACAAAACGCAAGAGAAGATGCACAGACATAGGCATTGTGTATCCTACTTGTGTGAATGATTGTTTACTCGGACACTTCGGCTTGCCCATTGCATCCTAAGTATGAATTCAGATAATGTTAGCGGTATAATAAGTTTTAATTAATGACATATGAAAAATGTAATATACCTCTTCATTTGACACTAAAACAAGATGTCTAGGCCAAGCGACATGTGTGCCAATGGCATTCTTTACTGTGAAGATGTCACCTGCAATATTTGGGACCGGAAGGTAAGCATCTTCCTTAATAGCCACTTCAATTGAAATACGTATATTTTCTGCCCCAAGTGGTACTCCATGTAGTGGCCCATCCAACATTATAATAGTTCCTAAAGCAACAATATTTTCTTTGGTGTCAAGTGCTAGCTTGCATTTTGTTTCCTGTCAATAAATGAAAAAAGTTACAAAGTTACGGAGTATGTGTTATTAAAAATTTCAATATGAGAATGCATTTTTCAAACTTATAATCATACCTTGCTCTCTTTGGTTCTTACATTTGGGTGTTGAGTATCACCCATTTTTAGACGTAGTTCTTGAGTCCTTTTACTCTCATGCTCGGGTGCCACATTCTCCTTAGGCAATTGACTTTTATTTCCTAGTGAGCAACTGACCTTTTTGGATGCACTACTACATGGAAATAGATTTCTCATCCTGTTCAATTTAGTTGGATCCATATTTTTGGATCTCATTATTTCCTAAATGTGAATTCAGATCATGTTAGTCATATATTAAATCTTAATTAAGGATAAAAAGACAAGTTTAATATAAAATTGCAGCACTTGTGTCCTTAGGTCTGAAAAAAATTGTAGGTGAATCGATCCAACCGCAGCACTTGCGTCTTAAAGTCTGAAAAAAAGAATTGCTTCTCTCAATTTTTTTTTTTGGGTCTGAAAAGAAGCCCTACGAATTGTGAATAGGGAATAAAAGAATCAAATCTACTTGAGTAGAGAACATCCAAGGCTACAATCCATATAGATTACAGTAATCAAAAACTCAAATCAACATCAACAATCACGTACTTAAACATAAATTGAAATTTTTTGAAATAATTGTTAACACGGAGAAAAAAATATGAGAGCAATGAAATTTCACAAGTTCACTTCAAATTTCTAGAAAACAATCTAATTAAAGCAACTTGGATTATAAAAGAAACTTAAGAGTAGAGCAAAACCTTTGAGAAGAGATCAAAGAACGGTGAGAAGTGCAATTTCCATGCAATTGCACAGGTGAATCGCAGCACTTGCGTCTCTCGATTTTTTTTAGGGTCTGAAACAAAGCCCTAAAAATTGTGAATAGGGAAGCCAGAATCGAAGAGAAGCCCTGAAAATCGATTGAAATTGAAAACGGGAAAGAGAAGAATGGGACTTTTGCAGTGGCGGGCTGAGAATTTTGGTGCGAAGAAGAGAGGGAAAATCTGAGCGGCTGAAAAATTAGAAACTAATTGCAGTAGGTTAATTACGGAGTTGATCCTTCTTTTTTATTAAAAAAATTTAATTGTAGTAGGTTAATTATTACCCACTAAGAAGAAACTACTCCGATCCGTACAAGTCTACAACTAACTGACGTGGTTTTAAAAATTATAGAGTAAAAGTTGTTTAAAAAAATTTTAAAGTAAAATATCCTCCGTATAGGTGCAGTACGTGGACAACAGGCTTGTTAATTTTAGTTTTCAAAATGAAAACTTAATTGATGTCCTTAAAAATATTTTTATTAAAATGTGTCATAAAAAACTTTTAAGGACATTTCAAAAATAATGTGTCCTTAAATTGTGTCCTTGAATCCTATTTTTCTTGTAGTGCCAAAATGAAAACCAAGTGTTGGAAACTCTTATACAATGTATTTTAGGTAGAAACCAAGTATAAAAACTTAAAAACCACTTCATTAAGGTGAAAACCACAGCTAGCCAAGTTTATGCCGTTTCACATGGTTTTCACCAAAAGACCAAAAACGAAAGGTGGTTTTTAACATGTTTTTGTTGGATAACCATTTGGATATGTCCAGAAGTAAAAACCAATCATAAAATATTAAAAAGCACTTGATTGATTTGGACGCCAAAAACCAACGCCGATAACCAACACCGAATGCTAATAACCAACGCCGAAAAACAAAGGTTATGGTTTTTGAAAACTAATTATTTGGAAAACCTTTAAAGTGTTCACAACACTTAACCACACAATAGAATATGAGTAAACTAATTTAGATCAAGAACACACTCAATTCCTCAAGAAATGGCTCTAAAAAGCTATGTAAAAAGTTTATGGAATGATGCAATGTAAAGCTATGAAATGTGTGAGGAATAGTTGTGAAAAGTAGACCCAAGAGACCCCTTTTTATACCTAAAAACAAGGTGCAACGGTTGGGAAAAGATTGGGGTTGATTAGCTTGATTTGTGGAAATCAAATAAAAGTGGATCTGCTGAAATATAGCCTAACAACGCTGTTCATAAAGTGAACATCGCTGTTTTGGCTTTGACTTTCCTTTAAAAATGGCTAACGGTCACCAAAACATCGATGTCTAGAAGTCTACATCGATGTTGGGGTGTTTGACTTTCAAAAATGGAAAGATTTTGTCTTAAATAGCCCAACGGTCATTTGA